CATCGGCGACGTCGACGTGAATCAAATCGTGCTCCACATCGAGCCGCACCGGTGATGCATCGGCGATGCGGCGCGATCCTCCGACCCCATCTACTCCGACCCCATCTAGGAGGCCTAGAAACTGTCTCCGCGCTTCGCGTTCCGCCAAGCGCGATTCTAGTAGGGGATCAACTGCAGAATCGATTCGCCACAATATCAATGTCCACGCCGAGTCATACGTAGACTGCTCGCAGAAACACGAGCATCCCTCGCACTTCTGACGGATCGGCGTACGCATCAACCTTTTAGGGGAAATGAATTCTGCTTGTCGATCCCCCGCTCGAGCGATGATCTTCCCTGCCCCCCGCTGACTTCCTTCCCTCTCCTCCCTCGGGGGCGGCCAAGAGGGGGGCGTCCAGGCGTCCAAGAGGGGGGGGCGCAAATCATGGCCGGCGGCATGTGCGCGGCCCAGGGGGGTGGCCAGGGAGGGACGTGTTGAAACAAGAAGAGGCGCCAGGAACTCTGGGGAAATATCATGGCCCAGGCCATGATGTCCACCCCCCCCTACAGTCGGGGCCTTGACCTAAGGAACCTTAAACAAGGAACGAGGCCCCTTTTTTCCATAAGTTGAACTTCGATGTCCGATCGAAAACATGAGGAGAACCTGAGGCAAGCTGCGAAACTCTTAAGGAACACGGAGCCCCTCCCCAAAGAAAAGGGTTCCTTCTTCAGGGCCCCGACTGTATGAAGGGGCCCTGGGACACACAAATAAATACACACAAATAAAAAGATTCCCCACATTTTTCCATATCTTCTGGGTTGTTGTCTTCCCCACCACTTCCCATATGTTCCCATATTTTCTGGGGAGTCGACGATGAATTGTTTCTGTGTGTGTTTTTTCCCCTCCTGACTGTAGTCATCACCCCCCCTCTTCGCCGCCCCCGACCCTCTCCTTCCCTCGGGGGCGGCAAAGAGGGGGGTGTCCAAGAGGGGGGGGTGCAAATCATGACCGGCGGCATGTGCGCGGCCCAGCGGGGGGGCCTGGGACGTAATGAAATAAGAAGAGGCGCCATGAAATCTGAGGAAAAATCATGGCCCGCGCCATGAAATCCACCCCCCCCTAGTCATCACCCCCCTCTTCGCCGCCCCCGACCCTCTCCTTCCCCCCGCAGCGGCTCGGCCGCCGGAGGGGGGGGGCTCGCTCCTGCGGCGGCCGCGGGCGGCGCGGGGGCCGCCGCGCGCGCCTCGTCGGGCCGCCGGGGAGACAGCGAGGGGAGCGAGAGCGGAAGGGCTTCTCCTCTTCTTTTTTTTCTTCTTCTTCTTATTTTTATTAGTATTATCATTATTAGTATTAGTCTTCCTCTTGTTATTACTATTATTATTCATCCTCTTCTTCTTCTTCCTCCTCCTCATCTTCCCCCTCCTCATTCTCCCCCTCGTCCTCCTCCTCCTCCTCCTCCTCCTCCTCCCCTCCTCCTCCTCCTCCTCCTCCTCTATATCCTTTTGATCCTTCTCCTCTTTCTCCTCCTCCTCCTCCTCTTCTCTCTTGGCCGAGCCCAGCGTCCTCCTCCTCCTCCTCCTCCTCCTCCTCCTCCTCCTCTCCTCCTTCCGTAACCACTTCAGCTCAAGCCGCGCTCGCCCTCCCACCCCCCCGGCGGCGCGTTTGGGCAATGGCGGCGGTTGGGCGCGGCCTGGACCTCGTCGCGCTGGCCCCGCGGGTGCAGGCGGCGGCTTCGGGTGCAGCGCGTCACGTGGTCGCGGCTGCGGTGGCGGCGGCCGCTCGGTCGGCGCCCAGCTTCCGGGGGCCACCCGCAGCACCACGGCGAGCTCGAGGAGGAGGTCGACGTGGGGCAGGCCACTGCCGCGCCCCTGCGGCGGGGGAGGTCGCGGCGGGGCGGCGAGGTGCGGTGGCCACACGCTCGGGGGGGGAGGACGGCCTTCCGTGGCGTCGCTGTGCGCGCGGCGCTGGGTGCTGGGGCGGAAAAGCGCTCCCCGCCGCCGCGGTGGAGGCGGCACGCATGCGGCGTGGCAGGCACCGAGCGCCCGCCATATGGAGGTGACGGCCCCGTTGCAAGAGTACGGCATCGGATCGGGCTCTGGCAGCGGCGGCGCCGACGAGTCCCAGAGGAAGATCAGTGCTCAGAACGTGAAGTCCGAGAGTGCCGTCTCGGAGTGCGGGTCCGTGGACGGTCTCGCGGGTCGGCCCCAGGTCTTCGACATTGCGTCGGAGAGCGGCTCGGAGGTCTCGGTGAAGTGCGTCGACGGCGTGCTGAAGGCGCCCAGCGGGCGCTGGGCAGACGGTCTGAGCGATGCCACCAAGCTGGCCGTGGAGGCATGGAGACAGAGGAGCTGATTGACATGGCCAAGGTGACGACCAGCGTGGTCGTAACGGCGCCGTCCTCCCTAGCGACGGAGGCAGAGGTGCCGAAGGGCGAGGCCAAAAGCATCACAGAATGTGGCGCCGCGGACGAGATCGACGGCTCCGATCTTGGCCCCGCTGGTATGGCCTCTGCCCCTCCCAGCGAGAAGTCAATCGTAAGCGGCGCCGGTGTGAAGGGTCGGGGGCCGATTGCAGAGCAGGGCTCTGTGCAGACTGTGACAGAGGCGAATGCCGAGGTCCTAAATGACAGGGCCGGGGCGGAGGCCATGAAAGGAGGGCAGGAATGCGGAACGCAATCTTATGCCTACTTCCGCGGATCTCTCGCCGACGAGGAGTGGGACTGTGAACCCCGCATCCCGAGGGTGGTCGTGGCGGAGCTCGAGAAGGTCGGCCTCGCCGGACAGGGTGACCACGCGGTCCCGCTGCTCGTGGACGAGTTCTGTGCATCGGTGGAGCTTTCGGGGCGCTCGAAGTAGTCGTGAGGACGATCGAGGTGCAGATCGTCGCGGGCTGCACCTGTGCGCAGGTGCTCGACGTGAGGGTTCGGGAGCTGATTTTGCTTTGACGCCAGGAGGAATCCCGAGGAGCTCGTTCGCGGGGGCGTGGATGGTGCGGCGCGGGGGTCTGAGCTGGCGCGCGCGGGTCGTCACCCCTCCCCCTCTCCCCCCTCCCTCCTCCTCCGTCGGCGTCGGGCGAGCTCAGCGTGCGCCGCGGGCCAGGTGCCCGAGGAGAGCAGTGCTCATCCCAGTCCCACAAGAAGGTGGCGCACAGATGGGGCGGGGCGGGGCATGCCGCATTCGGGGCGTCAGCTCCGAGTGTGGGGCGGTTGCGCTTTGCCTTGGGAGCGTCTCCCGACTGGGCTTCTGGGAAAAACAGGACAGTCCAAATCAGTCCTCCTCCTACCTCCTCCTCCTCCTCATCTTCCTCCTCCTCCTCCTCCTCCTCCTCCTCCTCCTCCTCCTCCTCCTCCTCCCCGTCCTCCTCCTCCTCCTTCTCCTCCTCCACCTCCTCCTCCTTCTCCTCCTCCTCCTCCTCCGCCTCCTCCTCCTCCTCCTCCTCCTCCTCCTCCTCCTCCTCCTCCTCCTCCTCCCCGTCCACCTCACCCTACTCGTTCTCCTTCTCTCCCTCATCCTTTTCCTCCACCTCCCGAAGGGAGGGAGGGGGAGGGCGACTCGGGGAGGGAGAAGATGTCAGGGACGGCGATGGGAGAGGCGCGGAGGGAAGCACGTGGAAGGGGAGGGGAGGGAAAATGGTGGAGGCAGGAGCGGGAGAGCGAGGGAACGAGAGGGGAGAGGTGGGGAGGCGAGAAAGGGATGTGGATGAAGAGAAAGGGAAAGAAGAGAAAGGGGAGGAAGAGGATGCGAATGTGGAGGAAGAAAAGGGGACGTGGGGAAAGGGGATGTGAAGGAAGAGAAAGGGATAGTAGAGGAGAAAGGGATGTGATGTGGAGAAGGGGATGTGATGGAAGAGGAAGACGTGGGGAGGCGAGAAAGGGATGTGGGGGGCGAGACAATGAAGAGAAAGGACAGCAGGCAGGGAGGGAATGGGAGGGAAGGGGAGCAGAGGAGAGGGAAGATGAGGATCGGAAGGAAAAAAGGGAAGACAGGCGACGAGGAGGAAGAGGAGGAGGAGGAGGAGGACACGGAGGACGCGGAGGGCGAGAAATCGAGCCGATGAGTACCCGCGGCCCGGTTTACTTTTGTTCGCCTGCGTGGCCTCGCCCAGGCACCACTGCCGCGCAGTGGCCTGCCAAAAGGACGCGCGCTGTCACCTACCTATGCCGCGCGTCCGCCCCAAAGCCTCGGGGGGCAGGGACCTCGGCGCTGCCCAGGACACGCGCTCGCCCCCCCCCCCCCCGCCCCCCCCCCCCGAGGGCTGGCGGCGCCCGCGGCTCGTCAGCCCAGCGAGCCAACCTCGCGCAGCCCGGCCGGGCCAATCAGGAACTGCAGCGAGAGGGGCGGAGCGCAGGGGCTCTCCTCGGCGGCGAGCCCTGGGGGGGGCGGCAGCGAGGAGGGGCGGGCCGTCTCGGCAGGCTCGGAAGCCCCCCCGGCCTTCTGCAGAGTGTGCGAAGCCCTTTGCCCCGAATGCCCAGAGAAGCCTCTCGGAAGGCCGGAGGCCTCCTGAGAGGCCCCGCCGCCCTCGGAGGAGGCCTTCCCTTTGCCACTTCCCCCTCTCGCTCGCCGCCGATCTTCTCCAGGTGCAGAAAGCGGCTGCCGCCCGCCGAATTCTCCTTCGCGCCCAGCCCCCGCTCGTCGCCGGGCGGGAGATGGCTAAGCACCACGCGCCAGTTCACCGCGTGATGCCACACGTGGCCCAGCGCAACTTTGTTGCCACCCCTCTCGGGGTCACCCGACACCTGCGCAACGATCAAAAACGGGTCCTACGCGAGATAGCACAGTGACCTTACAAGGCGGCTAACGCGGGCGGCCAACGCGGCATGCTGCATTGCAGACGAGCGCGCTTCTACGCGACGGCGCCTGCGCGCGACCTTACGCGGGCAGCTTGCGCGCGAATGTCCGCACAACTGGACTCGTTTTTTTTCCCGCGCCCACCTGGTTCGTGACGACGACGCACGACGGGGCCTGGCTGGAGCCCGCCGCGCGAAAGGCCACGAGGTACTTGAACAGGCCGGCCAGAGCGCTCAGCGCCGCCTGGCGCTTCGGCACCCACGACCGCTGCTCCTCCGCCAGGACGTCCCCGTCGTTGCGCGCCACGGCCGCGATGCTGTCGACGATGACCAGCGCCGGCAGCCCGGCGCCCTCCCGCGTGCGCTGCACGAGGTCGCTTGCGATGGCCAGAGAGAGAAAACAAACGACACGAGTGTTGACGAACGAACAACACACACCCATACCCATAGGGGGGTCCTTGCGAGGAGGGCTGGCTATGGGTATGGGTGCGGGTTGTCTGACCCTAGGCAACGCCCCCGTTCGAGCGGGGACCCCCATCCGACAACACGCACCCATAGCCCTCTCCGACCCCCCTATGGGTATGGGTGTGTGTTGTCGGCTCGCCGAGTGTAAACATCCGGAGCTCCGCGCGGACCTCTGGGATCGACGCTGGGCGCCCCTCCCGGGCTCGCGCAGCGTGCCAGGGGGCGGCGCCGCGGAGGCGCCGCCAGGCGGGCCTCAGGCGCCAGCCCCAGAGGTCCGTGCACAGCGCCGGAAATCTGCACCCGTCGGTCGGAAGAAGTGGGCAGAACTGTGAGGCAGGAAGGCGTGGGCAGCAACTGAGGCTCCCTGAGGAGGAAGACCGCTCGACTCTCGAAAAAAGAAGGGCAGCGCCAGGAGATTGGAAGGCTCTGGGGAACCCGCCTTGGACGCCCGAAATGAGTACGACAAAAATGGGTACGATGCCAACCAACACATGCTGTCGAAAACCGACAGCGGCCGCTGTTGGGCAATCGGCTTTTGCTCTCGAGTGGACAGTGACCGCGGCGACGCCGACAGTGAACCCTGTTCACATCGCACGAGAACTGCCTTTGGACCTTGTCTTAAGTCGTGCCTGTCCCCCTACATGGGGATTTCTGACGAAAAAAAGACCCCCAACAATAATCAGAAAATAGTCTGCAGGACTATGTTGTGACTATTTTTCTGCCATTTTGGAAATCTTTTTGAGTATGCTTTATTTTTCGTCGAAAATCCCCCTGTAGGGGGACACGCCCGACAGAAACCTTGTACCCACTGTTTCCGTACCCATCTCGATCGCCCCGACCAGAAACTCCTACTTTCAACGACCGGCGGGCACTCGTGCCGTGGTTTCTTCTCCGAGCTTTCGGTGGCAACGCACGGGAGCTTCCCATACCATCTTGTCGGCTCTTGCGAGTCGACGCTAGTCGACGCTAATCGACGTTAAATTTACGCTGATCGACGCTCACCAACGCAAAGTCGGCGCTATCCCATCGACTCCTAGACGCTTATCGACGCTGAAAACGAAATTACTCTATGTCCCTGGTCGTCTGGTGAGGTGTCCGAGGGGGGGGGGGGGGTACCTGTAGTTCAGGGGGGGGTACCTTTAGTCCGGGGGAGGGGCACCTGTAGCTCGGGGAGGGGGTACCTTTAGTCCGGGGGGCACACCGTGTTCACGCGTCACCGCACGCGTGGATGTAGTCCTGTGGGGGTACCTGTAGTCTGGGGGTGGGGGTACCTGTAGTCCGGGGGATGGGGGTACCTGTATACACCTGTAGTTCGGGGAGGGGGTACCTGTAGTCCGAAGGGCGACCTGTAGTCTGGGGACCCAGAACTACTGAGGGACACAGGGTAAGATGGCATCGACGCGAATCGACGCTCACCGACGCGAAGCTGGAGCTGTCTCGTCGACTCTCAGACGCTAGTCGACACCAATCTACGCAAAGTCGGCGGTGGACAAACCTCCCTTCAGTAAACCTCCCTTTAGTGAAAACGGCCTGGGACCGAAACCGACGGACCTGGACCCGCAAAGATGACGGCCGCGGCACCCTCTCGGGAACAGAATACGGCCAATTCCTTGATCGGGGTAGGAGGTCTGTCCACCCTCGAGCAAAGACGGAATCGAGGCGGCACGGCGGGCTCCCACGACTTGCCGCCGAACGAGCTGGCGTGCACGTCTGCGAGGGACGAGCACGCGCGCCGCCGGATGCGCTGCAGCGCCTCCAGGGCCCGGCCCTCGGCCTCCGGGCCCCCGGCGCAGAGGGCCCGCAGCAGCTCGAGGGCCCGCGGCGGGGAGAAGGCGTGCTCGGTGTCGAGCCAGAAGGCCTCGCCGCCCTCCACAGGCGCGACGAGAGCTGGAGACATCCACCAAAGGGCTGGAGCGGAGCGTCGCTCTTCGTTTCGTGTTCGCTTCGTTGCTCGTGCTGCTCTGCCTGTTGTCCTGCACCCCCTCCCGCCGAAACGGAGAACGCAGCACGGGCGAAGTCCAGCAAAACAGCGCTCAGGTCCAGCCCCGATGTCCACCGCTCCCTGGCCAGGCCCATCCTGAACCAAGCAGCGGTGTGTACGCCACTCCGTCGAGGCTTGGCCGACGACCTGCCAGACCACCCCAACCCGAAGACCCGAATTTGACGCGAATTTCGGGTTGGGGGGGACGGGTTCCATGTGTCTTTGCAACGTTCCCCGACCCCCCCCCCCGAATATGGAGGGCAAATTGAAGCCGTGGGGTTGGGTTGGGAGGGTTTGGTGGGCGGTGAGTATATACGCAGCTCCCGGGTTCAGGATGGGCTCGGCCAGGGAGCCGTGGATGTGCACAGATGTCGTCGCCCGACCTCCAGGGCCGCCAGGGCCGCCAAGTGCAGGCACAGCTGCGTCTTCCCGACGCCTGCAGGCGACCACGGGCGTCAGATGCTCATCCTGGGGACCTTCCTGGAGACACTCGCTCCACTCGTGCGTCGAAGCTGCGCCGAACGTCCGTCGAGCTGAATCGACCCCGGGTCGAACCTGAGTCGGACTTGTGTCGAACTCGAGTCCAACTTGTGTCGAGCGGGGGTTGAACTAGAGTCGAACAGATCCGTTAGGTGGGCCCCGGGAGGGCGCCCAAACGACTATCTAAGCAAGCAACCGCGGGTAAGCGACAACGCGACGGGCGAAGAACCGTACGACATGAAAATGTTCGCCGACGGGGCGCCTCTCCCCCGGCGGCTGGAAAACTTCGACCTCCTACTACGGTGGCACGACGGGGTACACACTTCCCAGCCGGCCTGGGACGGGCGCCCCTTTGTGACGGGACACATCATGTTGTGCCGTTCTCCGCCCACTAACCTGGCCATCGCTCGGACGTCCATTCCCTGTGTTTGTTTTGGTTTCGTGTGTGTTTTTTTCGCCACATGGTCAAGGATGCTCCTCGATGGTCCTCGCCGAAGGAAACATGCACGCAGAGGGGTCTTGCGCGAGAAGGCATCGTGACCTCACGCCACGGCCTCTGCGGGCCGCCAGCGTGGCACACCGCGAGGAGAAGAGGGCGCGCACGCGCGGCCTTCGGCGGGACCCTCACGCGCGAACGTCGGCGCACTCGACTCCCCTTGTTCGCCCGTCGCCCCGGTGAGCCCCACCCACGCGAGTCAGAACATGGTTGAGAAGCCAGCCTGCCGTCCAGAGCTCGGAGGACGCCGATGCTGCCAAGCAAACGAGCCTCTGAGTTCTGCGCTCATCCCCCTCCCTGGAGAGCGCGGAGCGCGCCAAGGGGGCGGCGCTGGAGGCGCCGCCAGGGGGGCCCGGGGCGCCGATCCAAGAAAATGAACGTTTTCTTACTACACCCTGCGAAATGCTTAAGAAATCATGGGTTAAGAAATTCATAGTCTCAGAACTTGCGTAAAAACCCAATATTTCTATTGAAATCTTAGGATTTACATTGAAACGTTAAGAATAATCGAGACTCTGGCCGAAAACTTAGGTTTTCTTAAGCATCGCCCAAGGTGTAGGCGTTCCGACACTGCCCAGAATGGGGGGGGGTCTGGCATCGCACCTCTGCTCAACGCGACTGTCTGCAGCAGTGCTTCCTCTGGGGGGGACTCCACCTGCTCGAAACAGGCGCCCAAGCCAACCAGGATCTGCTCCACCGGGGCGGGGGGGTCTGCGAGCGGCCGCACCGATCAACAAAGCAATGAATAAGAAAACGACCGCAAATCCGCGCGGACCTCGTTCATGTTTACTAGGGGGAAAACAAACCTACCTCGCTTTTGACCACCCTCGCTTCCAAGAGATACCAAAGCGATGCCAAATTGCAGCCTGCACTGGTCAGGCCGCTCGACGAGGAGGCGCATGGTATGGCTTGGTTTTGCCTGGAAGCGAAAGCGGGGCAGGTAATTCACGCTCATGGCTTACTCAGGCTCATCGGCAGTCGGGGATGCATGGGGCGGCGGCCGTCGGCAACGGGGTGCTGATCTCCTCTGCCCGCAGTGGGCGGTGGGGGTGTCGGGGGTCACCTGCGTTGCCCTCGAGGTTCTGGGACCCTGGCTTTTTTTTTTTTTTTTTTTTTTTTTTTTTTTTTTTTTTTTTTTTTTTTTTTTAAAATGTTTACCTGCAGCTGCTCCTGGAACTAGAGGTGCCGATTGATCGGACACAGCAGGACCCCTCACCCTTTGGGAGGGGACATCCGTTTGGAGGGCCAGGAACATCAGGGATAGGGGATCTCTTCTGCAGCTGTATCGGACTCAACCGCCCAGAGTTATTATCCCTCATGCGAAGACGGGGATCTCAATGAGGCTACGTCTTCATTGTGTTATTAAGGCCAGGGGTTCTAATACCTGGGGTGTTAACACCCCCCTGGATTTAATTTCAAATTCGTGACAGAAAATCCCAAAAATAAGCGCCAGATCCGTAATTTCTGTGAGCTCGCGGACGTGTACGACCGGGCGTTTGATTTTCGAAAACGTGCAAGCTTTTTGAATGGGGAATGACGACGTGTGCATATGTTGTAAATATGTTTGTTCTGTCGGCCCGGGCTCGTATGTCGAACTTGTGCAACCGATTTGATTGATATCTGACGTGCCGTGCAGCTTTTTGGCTGGGGAACCGACGAGTCGCGCAACCTTTTCCGTTTCGTCGAACTGGGTTCGGTGTTCGAACTTGTGCTACCTTTTTTAACTGACAATTGACGAGCTGTGCAGCTTTTTTCGATTGGGAACCGACCAGTTTTGCAACCTTTTTCGTTTTGTCGAACCTGTCTCGGTGT